CGTTATTTTCACAGTAAACCAAAGATTGTAATGCTAATAATTATTAAAAAGTTAATGTGTATTGGTCGTTTGGTGCCGTATTATTTTTCCACTTCATTAATCATAACTCGCCCTTCTTAGAAATTAACACGTTTGGAAGAATCTGTTACCCTTCTTGAAAGATCCTTCCACTTAAATTTCTAATCAAATACATTAATCGATGGACTTCTCGAAAGATCCTTCCACTTAAATTTTTAAGTTTGCCAGGAGCTGCTTCTTGTTCAGGCCCTTAGGCCCGGCGACCACTCATTGCCCTCGCAGGAACGAATCCTTACACCTTTTACCTTTATGTTAGCTTATGCTATTTTGTCACCACTACTTTGCTCTTTCTTGCTTTAATTCATGCTCATGGACATTGTGTGTCACAACATTGTACTTAAAAAGGTGCGCTTGTTTCATAAAATAAATGATTTGAAGAATATTTTCCTAAAAACAATCGTAATGAAAAAATGAGAAATATTTTCTTTGTTCAAGAAAAAATTTAAATATAAATCATTGTCACATGCACACCCACACAAAAGGGTTATGTAGGGGTGAGCATAATCCTGGTGAGCGATTCTCACCATGGAACCGAAAACTTCCCATTAAGGATCGATTCTTGAAAATTAGAACTGGGAACCGCCTGCTGGTTCCGTGGGCCACCCAGGAACCAGACCGCTGATCCGATCCGATTGTCCTATTCCTGGATGGGTTCATGAAATCGGTCCTCAATCTCTATAAATTTGTATTTATCAATTAATAGCATGGTACTCAAGTTTGACAAACGAATGAATGTATTGGGTGACTGGCCCCCACCCCATCTGCAGAAGTTGCGTTCAAGAATCTCTCGCAGAAGATAGAGTCGTTGGCCTCAATTAGCATGGGGGGGGGCATTTGGAAAACGGGGGTGGGGGAAGAAATACAATCAAACCAAGTTGTTAGACTTTCAAACCCCCAACCAAAATCAATCCAATAATAAGAATGATGATGATAATAATAGAAATAATAATGTTAAAATGCATCGACTAAAAACCAAACCCTTTGTCCTCTCTTTCTCTTCTTTACAGAGTCATTATCTTCATGCAAAAGTCACGCACACTCAGAAAATATCATCCCCGACCGTAGATTTTTTTAAAATATAGGTGAAGAAACCACCTGGAAATTCATCCATTTGTGGATGAACCTTTACTTAAACATCGGACGACGAAAAGGAAGCCAAACTTTGTCCGAATTCGAGGACAACAAGCAATCCGCACGTACCATCAGAGAGAGAGAGAGAGATGCTGACCTTTCTCCCTCGCTTCACTGCTATCAAAGGTGAAAGATTCTGGCTTTGGGGTCGGCGAGAGGGACCCATTTGCCCCTTTCCGCCTTTTACTAGTTCTGCTCGGTGGAGCTGAAGCGCCGGCGAAAATGGTGGACCTGCGTATCCGTCTGTGCTTTCAAAGCACAGTACCTACTGCTCTCCAAGAAAATTTTGCCCGTTTGGGCCGGTGGGCACGCTCACGCACCCGATCCTTAAGGGCACGTTTTGCCAAACAGAAACATGTGTAGCGAGATGGAAATGGAAGGAATGGTAACAGAATGAGACAGATTAGATTCCTACGTTGGATTGCGTCGGAAAAACAACGGGTGCATCCACTTAAAACGATGGCTTGTATCGATTGAAATAATTAGTCAACGAGAAACGTTTTCATTATTGCAACAAATTATGTTTCAATGTTTTCGTGGACAATGAAAGTATCTTTCGTTCGTTCATTTTTGTATAAGACACAAATGATCGTTTTCAGGAAAATATTTTTCAGATTATTTATTTTCATGGGCGATGAAAGAATAATGTACCATATGTTAAACAAAGAACGACCATCTTCATGGGATTTACTATATTTATCCATTGTGTTCACCAAAAATTTAGGATAGAGGACCATTTTACTTTGGCAAGATTTGGTTGGTGCCTTCCCAGCATTGCTCTAGCTTACTTGGGAGTCATTATAAAAGCCACCGTACATCCTTTGAGAATTGTAGTCTCTCGTTTTGTGCTTAATTTGAACATGAACAATTTTTAGTCATGTCCTTTTGTGAGAATTTTCCTTGTATGTTACTTAGTACATAAGGGCTCTAATTTACCAAATTTTACCCAAATATGTAATTTTGCATTCAAGACAACCAATCCAACCTGAAAAAAATCCAATTTGTTCTCTAAACTAAGTAAAATTGTTGTTTTCTTTAAGCATAGACATTTCGACGGACTTGAAAACCTTCTCAAACCTTATCCAACGTTCCGTCACGTGGGCCCATGTCCTTTTTGTTTATATAGTGAAGGAGAGAGATGATAAGAGAACGAAACCGAAAGGAAACCCTTGGGAGAACTTTTTTTTTTCCTTTGGTCACAAGGCATGAACTTTTTAGCTTTTGCTGGACCTTTACGAAGCTTTGGTGTGAACTAGCAAAGTCTTTCTTTTAGCTTTCCTGTTGCATAACTTTTTGAATGCTAAATCAGAGGTGAATGTGTGAACTAGCAAAATTTAGCACGATCACCTTATTAATAACTTCATCCGCAAGATTATTCGAACTCAACAATAGTGTAGCAAGAAAGACCAAAGTGTTCGAGTCGAAACTATAGATGACAACGAACTGTTGATTTGATTCCGTAACAAAATGTAAATTTAGACATCCTTTACAATGCATAAAATTTAGAATTGAAAAACAGTTTCCGAAGCTCTAACCATCCGAGCAGCTGAAATTTAGATATAAGAAGAAAAGATTATTTTATAGGAGTTTAACATTGTGTTCGGTTCAGGACGCATCTTTGGGCCGGAAGACGTTGAACTTCTTGCAGGAGACGGGAATGCACTTAACAAGCCAACCAATCGGCCAAGACAAAGCTGCGAGTCCCATGCAAGCACCCCACTGTACCCAGCTCAGCCTGTCGGTGTTGGCAAACCTCTTCAGAAACTCCACCATCACCACCTGAAGAATTACGGTCATGCTCACGAGGCCCAAGAACAACTTGTTCTTATGTATCCCTTTGAATACGTTCTTGTCCTCAAGCTTCCTGGCGTTAAATACGTTGAAGACCTGGCGAGGAGGAAGCAATTGAAAATAATTGTGTCCTTCACTTTCTCGTCCACTCCAAAGATGGAACTCCCCTTGAACTGTAGGGTCAGGAGGACGATAACTTGGTACAAGGCTTGAGATGTGAGATTCCTCCACATAACACTGTTGATAAGCGGCTCGGTTCGTCCAACTGGCGGTTTTAGCATGAGATCATTTGTGGGTTGCTCCGTGGCCAACGCCAAAGCTCCCAGGGTGTCCATAATCAAGTTCACCCAAAGAAGCTTCAGCATTTGGCCAACGCCAAATGCTGAAGCTTGTAACTTCGATACTGATACTGATAATAAGATTGTCTTAGTGTGACACCGTGGTTTTTCCTTTTCTGATTCTGAAAGAATTTTTCCCTTAAAAATTCACTTTTCTTCTTTTTTATTTTTTATTTCACTTCAAAGATTCGTGTTCCTAACATCCTACTCATTCAACATCCAATATAATCTCGTCAAGTCCTTTAGCAAATAAAACTCAATAAGAAGCCTTATTGTTTTTAACGTCACTATGATGTGATAGCATGTTACACGAAAATTAAAACGAATTTTCATGAGATCTTTGTTATCAAGAGAGATCTAATATATGTTCTCTATAGTTTTTTATCCAATAGGCCGTAGTAAATCGGACAACACCAGAGGAAAGATGGATCCCATGACCTCCCGGGCAATCGATTACTTGAAGTTTAGCCAACTATCCATCCGGACCCAATATGCAATAAGTAGGTATCGTGTAGGAACATGTCAACTACAATGGCACAAACAACATCAATGCCCTAAAGTTCATCCACCCCAATAGGGCTTCGGCAACCAAGATCAACGTGATCGCCACAAACGCCCTGGAAGAACACCATCGTTGCCGTTGGGAACAACCCTGGGAAGGCCTGTCCCAACAGGTACTTCTCGTCCAATGCCATAGCCAGTTTCCCTAGGAAGGGTGCCAACTTATGCCCAAACCACAGCCGCGAGAAGGGTCGGCGGAAGTCGCCTAGGCCTTTCCAAAGCTCGGCAACCCTTGCTGGCCTAGGGCGAGGCCTTAGTGAGGGTCTGCAACCCCTGATTTGGGGGAGGGCATGACCCTTGCCCCATGTCTGAGCGAGGGTCGCCGGCCCAGGCGAGGGCCGGCGAGGCCTCTCCCAGAGTTGGCCACCCCAGGCGTCGGCGACCCTCGCTCAAATCTGGGGGGCGTGACCCCAGATTGGTGGTTGTAGGCCCTCGCATGGGGCCAGCGAGGGTCACTGGGCTTCAGGAAGGCCTGGGCAACCTTCGCCAGCCCTTCCTGGTAGCTGTGGCAGTGACCACTGGCGACGGCTTGGCCACAGCCGCTGGTTATGGGTATGGTTTTTTTTTTTTTAACTTTTAGCTTTTCTCTAATTTAATTTATATTTTTAGCTTTTTCTGATGTTGCGTTTGTTGGACGCCACTTCATCGTCACGTGTCTCAAGAAAAGTAGTAAAATAAGACACGTCAGTATTTGCCGTTAGTAAATTATACAATGTTAATTTTAGAATTTGATTGGATCAATTTAACAAGATTTATGATTTGATTACACTTTTTGCAAGTTTTAAGAGTCAATTGTATTTTCGTGATAAGTTTTAGGACTTTTAGGGCGCGCATGGTAACATTTCTGTTTCAAAAATTAATTTCTGGCCAAAAATAGATTTTTCTATTTCTATTCCATGGACGAATTTCTGAGCAAAAATGCGTGTTTGATAACGACACAAAATTTATGTTTCTGAAATAGAAATTTCTTTGACAATGACACAAAATTTCTCCGTTCCGGGCGGCCGGCGATGGGAGGTGACCGACGTCGGGTGGTGGAGCACGGCGGCCGGCGTTGGGCAGTGGAGCACGACGGGTGGCGGCGGAGGACGGTGGTCGGTGATGAGTGGCCACCGGCCACCTGGGGGGCGGCTTTCGGTGGGAGGCGACCGACGGCGGAGGGCGGCCTGCGCCGGGTGGCGACCGGCGTCGGACAGTGGAGAACGGCAGCCGACGGAGGAGGACGACGGCCGGTGGCAGCCGGCGGCGGAGGTCGACGGCCGGTGGCGGGTTGCGGCCGGCGTCGGGCGGCAGAGGATGGTGGTCAGCGGCAAGAGGCGCCCGAGTCCACCGGCCGGTGGGCGAGAGGTGGCCGGCGGGTGGCGGCGAGAGCCGGCTAGCAGGTGGCGGCGAAGGACGCGAGAGGCGGCGGTGGGCGGGTTATGGCCAGCGTTGGGCGGCGGCGAACGGCGGAAGATGGCAGTGGGAGGAGGCGGTCGGCGAAGGACACCGGCAGTAGGCGGCCAACGGCCGGAGGCGGTCGACGGCAAGAGGCGGCCGACGGTGGCGGGAGGTGGCCGGCGGCAATAGCAAGTGGCAAGGGGATGGCTGGCGATAGGATTTCTAGTATCAAGGGCGAGCGATAAGAAAAGTTTTTATTTCTCATTTCTGTTTCAGAAATAGAAAAGTAAATTTTTTTACTTCTGATTTCTGTTCCAAACCTATTTCTGGAATAGAAATTTGTTCCAGAAATAGAAAAATGAAATTGCGTTACCAAACGGATTTTTGTTCCAAACCTTTTCCTGGGAACAGAAAAATAGAAAAATAAAGAAACAAAATGTTATCGTGCGCGCCCTTAGTGCACATATTCCAAAAATAAATGATACTTAACATCAGATAAAATTAAATAAAAATGATACATTTGTGCCTTTTCTCACATATAAAACACCATAAATCGGTAAGTCACCAGAATTTTATGGTCATGCTCATATCATTTCTTTTTGACCATGACTTTTCCAGCTTCACGACTATTTTTCAGCCTAAGGCCATATCCCGAATATTCACGGAAACGAAAAAGTCAATGATGTTTGCACAACACTAATTTTGATATTATGTCTTAGCGGTGCACTTCATCCTCCGAAATTCGAGAAAATATTAGATGGGCCGGCCACTCAAAGTCACCGTGCGCCAGCCCAATCATAAAGCGACACGTGGCTCCACGTGGAGGCCGGGCCCCACCCTTTTTCTGGGTCAAATTTTTGCTTTCTTCTCTCTCTCCTCATCAATTGTCGCGTTCTTTTCCCGTTGTTTGCACGAAAAAGCGCCCTCTCTCTCTCTCTCTCTTCATTGATTGCTGTTTTCTCTCTCCCCTCGTTCTTTCCTTCTCTGAGAAATGGACGCCAACCTTCTTCTCTCTCCCGCAAAGGCCTTCTCTCCCTCCCTCTCCTCAATTCAAATTTTGGATCTCCCCCTTCGCTCTCAGATTTTTCTCCTCCGGCGTCCGTTGCTGCTCCAGTGTTCGTCGCAACGGCAGACACGTTGTTCGACGAATCTCAATTGTCTCAACGTTGAAGAGGCTGTCGAGTAGTAGGGGACGGTGACATCACGAATGTCAAGCCATGGCCATTGGTCCTGCCAGCGAACGAAGGGTGAGGACGGCGAAGACAAAGGTGGCGGCGAAGGAGAGGACGAAGTTGGTGTTGCCGTTTAGCATGCGAAATGGAGCCTTGTAGCAGGCATTTGCTTTTGTTTTGTTACTTCTTCTTTTTTTGGTTGGACGTTCCTTTCGTTGAGTTGTTGAGTTTTGTTGAAGAGGTTTTGCTTCTGTTTTGTTTCTGGTTTGGAGCACTGGAAGTTACCACTAGTTTTCCTTAGTTTTTTCCTTAATATGTACCTTGTACGATTTGAATAAGATTTAAGTTTTGCAACTATATTTCTGGCACTGAATTGTTCTTCGTTTCATATTTTGTTGAAGAGGGCCGATCACAATGCCCTCTTCTCTGTCTCCAGCTTGCCCAAGCCAAGCACATCGAGCGCAAATTTTCAAACTTTCGAACCAGAAGAGGTTCTCAAGGAGGTGGGCACTTCGTTTTCCTTCCTCTTTTGCCATCTCAAGTGTAAAGTTCCGCGTTTTGCGTGTTCCTAACACATGATGGTGTGCATGCTCGGTCAGTGTCTGTTGGTATTCCTAAACGAAAGGCTCTCACCTTTCGGTGAAAGCCAATGGGAGCTTTTTGAAATCCATAATTGCAATGGCGATGTTTCATGGGGGGAAATGAATGGAGACACGCTTTAAAGATATGGTGGGTGGGTTGTTTGGCTTCTCCCTTGGAAACTTGAAATGACAATGGTGGAAGACCGCAGTCATGTGATACAAGATGGTGAAGCATATATGTGGGATTTTTCCACGCCATTTTGTTGATTAAATTCCGAGTTCATCGCTTGCTCTTCTTCAGCAAACATTGACTGCTTTCTGGGAAGTTTTAGGGGAGCTTTATCGTGCGTTATACCTCTGAAGGTTTTTGGAGAAGCAAATTTTTTGTCAGGTAGAGATTAATAGGTTCGTTTAGCTAATCTTATAGAGCTTGGAATGGAGTGAAAACATACATCATTTGGTGAAGAGAAAACTCAACTCAACAGTTCTAATCATATTTACTACAAACCCGTGAACAGAAGCAAAACGTCTTCAACAAAACTCAACAACTCAACGAAAGGAATGTTCGACCCAAAAAAAAAAAAGAAACAAAACAAAAGCAAATGCATGCTACAAGGCTCCATTTTGCATGCTGAACGGCAACACCAACTTCGTCCTCTCCTTCGCCGCCACCTTTGTCTTCGCCATCCTCACCCTCGTTCGCTGGTAGGACCAATGGCCATGGCTTGACATTCGTGATGTCACCGTCCCCAACTACTCAACATTCTCATCAACTCTGAAACAACTAAGATTCGTCGAACAACGTGTCTGCCGTTGTGATGAGCACCGGAGTAGCAACGGACGCCGGAGAAGAGGGCCAAAGGAGAAAAATCTGAGAGCGAAAGGGGAGATCCAAAATTTGAATTAAGGAGAGGAAGAGAGAGAAGGGCGTGCATTCACGCACAAGGAAAGAACGAGGGGAGGGAGAAAATAGCAATCAATGAAGAGAGAGAGTTTTGAAAGAGAGAGAGAGGGTGCTTTTTTGTATGAACGGCGAGAGAAGGACGGATCCTAGACTACCAGGCTCACCTGCGCCACGTGGACCACGTAGCGCCTCGTGAGTGATCGGGGACCACACTGACTTGGCAATCCGGGATCACCCAATATTTTCTCATTCACTAAATTCTTCATGAACCTGAAGACTGGAAAGTTAACCTTATGCTTTAATTTAAGCAAGAAGGGTGAAATATAAAAGTATGAGCAAATGTGCCAATTTAATTCTAAACTTATTTTTTTTTGCCAATTGAGTCATAAACCGTTTGTATTTGTGCCAATTCAGTTCATCTAGCCAATTTTGGCAGAAATTACTAACATGGATATCAGCTGTACTATATCGCGAGGCCGGCGCTGTCGCGGCCTAACAAAAATCAATCGGGTTTCGATCTTAGGCTAATGGATTACTAGGTCAATTAAATTAACTAACCTAGCTCGAGTTCTCCCAAACTCTACCAAATCGCAACTTAGGTCCAATTGTGAGCATGCAAATATTTTCAATGGGAGTCGCCACTAATCATTTAGGGTAGGTTGATTAGAAACCTAAATAAAATAGCGGGAGTACTATTTTATTTCTACGAACCAGAAATTATATATTCGGGGACTTGGTTACGCTAAATTCCTTAACGCCCTTTCGGTACCAATTTCAGGAAAAAATTCAATTTAACAATTTTGAAAAGATTCTGACTTAAAGTTCAAAGGTGCAGAAATTTCTTTTTGATTTTCTTTTATTTAAATGAAAGCTAACCTATATGTAATGACGTGCAAAAAATTGACATGCGTTAATGCAACCTATCATGCAAACTATATGTCATGCGACAACGTGACCTATTTCTAATGACGGGCATATTATCTTTTGTTTTTTTCTTTAATGAAATTCGGAATTAAAAATGCCAATTATCTAAACATGCAATTTTAAACTAAAGAAATTAACCTATTCTAGAGTAATCTTTTTGGTATTTTTTTTATCGAAATTCGAAATTAAAATCAAGTAAAAAATATAACCGTTAAATCTTTCGAATTAAGTTTCGATCTGAAACCTGACAGATCGATCCTAAAATTCGAAATACCCGCTTTGGAAATAACTCTATCTAAAGCCTGATAGATAGATTTATTTTCACGTGTGCGGTTGCGGATTAGGAAATTTTCCTAATCGATCACATCTTGAAAAAATTTAGATATCTCAAATATCTTGGATATATTCAAAGGATTTTGAAAATTCTAAATTCTATCCAAATTTGAAAAATAATAGATATCCAAGATTTCAAAAAAAAGGAAATAAAATCCTAATTGGAATAATGCTTATTATCCAAATATGCAAAATTAGATATCAATAAGCATGAATTAGGCAACAAAATATTCAAACCAAATCGGGATAAGATAATTACCTGATTTGCAGATTTCTTTCCAAATTTGAATTTGCAGCGGATCGGGATTGCGGATCAGGATGGTGACCGACGGTACGTCGGGAGCGGCGAATGTGGCGGCGGCAAGGACTGACCTTGCGATTGCTCACAATGGCTGAGGAGTGCAGCTCGATGATCTCAGTGCAGCAATATGTTGGTGAGGGGAATCGCCAATGATAGACTGACTAATTGGCAGCAACTTCAACGAAACTTCCAAGTGAAAATAATGCCCAGGGAATGAGCAACAACGACTGGGAAACCTGCAGGTATCAAACCAACCAATCGTAGAGTAATAAGTGATCTCCGAGGAACACTAGAGATATCGTAGTGCAGGGACTAGCTCGTTTGATCGTCGACTATGCAGGTCCGGCAACGAAGGTTCGCTGGTGCTGATCGCGTGGGCTAGCTGAACACCGTTGGCGACGTACTTGCGACACGTAATGGTTGGGCGTGACTATAGCAGACGGCAAAGTGAAAGAGTCACGGAGCGATGAGCTGGGGCGTGGTGCCTTCGTCCACGAGTCGTCCCTTGTGTGCAGAACGTGTCTTCTTGTGTTGACTGTGTAGTCTTTTGACCCAGAGAGAGACTTGAGAGTGTTGTCTCAGTAAAATTCTTCTTCCCCTTTCTTTTGGACGAATGGCAGTAATGGAGGCGTCAACGGCAGCGGTGAACACGGCGTAAGTGCGGGCAGTGCAGCAGCGGCGGCGGGGCGACGAGGCGGCTGTTGCGCACGTATGGGGCCGAGTCTTTCTCTCTCCCTCAAATCTCACGTGTGTTTCTCGCTCTCTCTGAAAATTCTGATCTCTGGAAATTATGAGAGCCTCCCTTAATTATGACACATAACGATGTATTTATAATGTAAACCTAGGTCAATTAGCCGGGCTTTCTAGTCCTAATGGGTTTAGGCTTGGGCTTAGGCTTTAATTATCATTTAATTTCAAGTGGGCTGAATTAATGTGGGCTTTTATTTAATTATGCATAATGGGCTAATTTATGC